GTGACCGGCCACCAACTGGATTTAGCTCATTGACCACAACCCTCTGGGCTCGGCCATCCAGCCAGTTTTTTACCCACCAAAGAGTCCACCTACCTAAGCCATGAGTAGCCAATTTCTCTAGAAGGATGCTGTGGAAGACTGTGTCAAAGGCCTTACTAAAGCCTAGGTAGACAACATCCACAGCCTTTCCCTCATCTACCAAGCAGGTCAACTTGTCATAAAAAGAAACCAGATTGGTCAAGCATGATCTTCCTTTCATAAATCCATGTTGGCTGGCCCTGATCCCCTGATTTTCCTGCATGTGCTGTGTAATGGCACTCAAGATGATTATGGAACAGATCTGTTCCATAATCCTGCCTGGAATCAAGGTCAGGCTGACAGGCCTGTAGTTCCCCAGATCATCTTTCCGATCCTTCTTGTAGATGGGCATGACATTTGCTAACTTCCAGTCTGTTGGAACCTCTCCAGTTAGCCAGGACTGCTGGTAGATGATTGCAAGAGGTTTGGAAAGTGCTTTTGCCAGTTCCCCCATTACTCTGGGGTGAATCCCATCAGGACCCATAGACTTATGAGAGTCTAATTGGCACAGCAAATCACTAACCATCTCCTCCTGGATTATGGGGGCTTCACTCAGCTCCCTGTCCTTAACTTCTAGATCTGGGGGTTGAGCATCCTGAGGAGAACTGGTCTTGGTGTTGAAAGTTGAGGCAAAGAAGGCATTGAAAACTTCTGCTTTTCCCTCGTCCCCTGTCACTACACTACCCCCTGCATTCAGCAAATCACCCTAGACCTTCCTCTTTACATGGGTCTTGGCTAGACTTTCAGACACCAACCATGATGTCAGGAACTCTTTCTAAGAAAGGCTACCTCAGCTGACAGTCTTTTCTCACAAAATGCAAGGGACCTTCTGTGCTTTTGGTCTGCCATGTTTTCCCTGTCAATCACTATTTGTCAAGTATTGAGTGCTGCCTATTAAATCTCTCAGCTAACACTACCTGCTCCGGATAGATATTTTGCTATCTGCACAGTGACTTGGCTGCTTCCCCAGTCTGCGGGTTGGCCTCTCCGCTAGCACACAACTGTCACAGTAAATACTAGTCAACCATTTGAGTGGCACAATCAGTCACTCTCAACTGCTGATACTTGTACCCTCATCTATTGTGGGCCCACAGGCACAACCGTCTTCTTTCTGAAAGGACACCAAGGTCACAGTCAGGCTCACCAGACTGGGCACTGCTGGGTGTGGGTGGTATGGGCACACAATTACAGTTCCATTGAACTACATAAGATTTATCTTGGTTCTATATCTGCCTGGGAGAATGCAGTATACCTGATACAAGACAACACATCTTGAAAACCTTGAAATCCAGTGACTTTGAACCAGGAGGGTAAGTTACTCACAGAACAACATTTTACATCAAATGGCCAGAGAGCTTTCTGATTTGCAGGGAACATCAGATCCAGAGCTAACACTGTATTTGATCATGAACTGAGGCAAGTACAGTGAATATAAAACCTTCAGTATGTTCTTCAATCTGCACATGGCACTCCAAAGATAGGGTGCAGTTTCCAGAGAAACATCTGAAGAGCTGCAGAATGGTGCCTTCTTCATACTTAGTTCTACGCATGTCAGAGTTGCTGCTTCACCTCTACTAGGCCCTCCTTAAAACAAGTAATTGTGCAATTAATGGGCACCTTTCTTCTGATTAATCTGACCTTCAGGTGATTACTCAGGAGTAGTGCCCAACTTCCTAGGGTTGGGCATCAATTTTGCTTCTCCTGTGTGTGTAACAGTTTTGTACTCTCAAGTCTACAACATCTCTGCAACAGAAGGGATTGCAGGATGGTATCATTGCTCTGTGAGAAATCAAACACACTGCAAGTTGATTGCTTGCTTTTAAACCTTATCTGTAAATCACTGTATCAGAGTCCAAGTAGATGTGAGGACGCCCAGCTCACCTGTGATGTTATCAGTGTGTTACTGTAGTAGTCAGCTGGCATTAGGTTCTCCACAATATGGACTAGGCACCAGAAAGCACTTTCCTCATCTTCCAGGACCAGGAGGGCAACAGCTGCCAATCTGTGATGGACAAGACATGGTGAGGCAACCCAATCGTGCAGGAGGAGACAGAGGCCAGCACAGCAGCAGGGCAGTTGGTCAGAGAGGGAAGTGACCTGTTCTGCAGGTTTCTGAATTGTCATGGTTTAACCCCAGACAGCAACTAAGCACCACGCAGCTGCTCGCTCACTCCTCTCCCTCCTTAGTGGGATGGGGAGGAGAATCAAAAAAAAGTAAAACTCATGGGTTAAGGTAAGAACAGTTTAATAACTAAAGCAAAATAAAATATAATACTAACAATAATATTATAAAAATAATAGTAATGAAAAGGAATGTAAGAGAACAAAATAAAAAAACTAACAAAACAGAAGTGATGCATAATACTATTGCTCACCACCCACTGACCAATGCCCAGTCTGTCCCTGAGCAGTGATCAGCCCCTCCCAGTCAACTCCCCCCAGTTTCTATACTGGGTATGGCATTCTATGGTATGGAATATCCCTCTGGCTAGTTCAGGTCAGCTGTCCTGGCTGTGCTCCCTCCCAGTTCCTTGTGCATCTCCTTGCCGGCAGAGCACGGGAAACTGAAAAGTTCTCAAGGTAGGATATAAGTGCTACTTAGTAGCTACTTAGTAGCACTTATGTATGTAACTAAGTGTTACTTAGTAACAACTAAAACATCAGTGTGTTATCAACATCATTCTCACACTAAACCCAAAACATACCAGCTACTTAAGCAGAAAACCAACTCTATCCCAGCTGAAACAAGGGCCTGAAGGAACCATGAGGCTGTGATTTTCTTTCCTGTGTGACTCTGACAGCAAACAGGAAGCATCAAATATGGAATTGGTATGACAAAGCCAGACTCCCCAGCTAATGGGATGCTCTGTAGATCTGCTGAAGTTGGCAGTGTGATGATTTGGGCTATTTCAATACAGGAAAGAGCTCACTCAGAGATACTCCATATTATGTGACACAGCTGACCTTCCCATACATTCTTCTACAGGCCTTACCCCCTCCAGCTCTGACTTATCCTCTTTTGGCCAGACTGGAAAGACGATACCTAATATCAAGGGATCTCTAGAGTGGAAAATACCTTTCTGGAGACCATTGAAAGAACAGGAATAGCTTACACAGACTTTCCTCACATGAAAAGGACCAATCAGAAATTCCTTTCTTATAGCTAGTGCCTGGTCCCTCTTCTGTTTTGCGGCACACTTCTAAGAAGTCTGGGTTTATGTTTCCGACAGCTTGCTTTGGGAAGTGAAAGAAGCTTTCAGATTCCCTGAACCTTCTCTTCTCCACACAACCACCCCAGTTTCCCCAGCCTCTCCTCATGTCATTCCCTGCAACTCCCTCATCTCCAACACTTCCCGACACTTTCTCCAACCCTTCTCAGCAAAACGAGGAATCACCAGGGTGTTCCTCTGCTGAGCACATTAAGACTTGGAAATTCAGCCCCAGCTTCATGCTGTTATTCTAGGACTGTCTCATTCTATCTCCTGTAGCTGCTCCTTCCTATTCTGTAACTACGGAGATGCCAAACAAGTGCATGCTGCTACCTGCTTGATCCCAGCAATAACATCAGGTGAAAAAAGGCATTGAACGCAGAATTCTGCAGGAAAATACCTAGAGCCAGGACAGAACTCTGGAGAGGTAGGAGGCTAGGGTTGCTTGAATCACACCCTTGAGTATATGTCTACACCTTCTCAGTGCTATCCCATGAAGAAGCAGCATACCTGTTCAGTCCCTGGCAGTATCCAATGGCAGGATTGTGCCAGGAGAATGCCAGCAACACCCTCCGGAGCCTGGGGATGAGCTGGGAGGTGGGAGAGGAAAAATGTTTGTTGTTGGTCAGTGTGCGGTGCAGGTCAAGCTCTATCTGCCGGCAGGCAGGGTGCTCGGTGCTCTTGCTCTGCCGTAACAGCCACTGGTAGTGCTCAGGCAGATGGCTACAGTGTTGGCTGACAATCCACCTCCAGACTCGCTGCCGATGCTCCACTGGAATGCCACTTCGGATCAGGCTCTTTAGCTCTGCAGAGGGGTTCAGCTCTCCAACGCTGTTCCACCTGTCGCGGAGGGGCTTCTCCACTACTTCCTGGCTCCGCAGGTTGTTGGACTTTATCTCCAGGGCTTGGATTTTGGCCAGAAGTTTCCAGTCCTCAACTTCATAGTCAGGTACAGTCATAAACCCATACTCATCATACTCACTGGAGGGACACAAGGCAGAAGTTAGTTCAAAGGACAGCGCTGGTATCTGCGTCAAGGGCCACTCACTGCTTGGGGCCATGTCAACTACGGCCTGCTGCCAGGTTCCTGTCACCCATGCCAGGGCACAGGTACTCCTCCTTCACTTCTCTGGCAGCTGCATGTGAGAGCCTGCCATGCCCACTGTCTCAGGGCCTTGAAGACAAATTACAGCCTGCAGCGATGGCATACACACACGGATACAAGTGTAACTTTGCTCTGAGCTATAGCAATCTCGTCAGACCTCTCTCACCTTGCCTGTTCCCCTGCCCCTAAGGGAGTAGCTAGCTTAACCTGTGTACTTTCTCCCTACCATATCCCAGTGCAGAGACAGTTCTGTAGGAAGGGACTGCAAAGGCTTTAGGGTATCAGACCAAGGAACAGAGATCCACAGTCCTTTCTGATGTCTCCCTGTACAGAAAGCAAATCTCTTATTGATTGGAAAAAACAGGAGCACTGATAGTATAGCTTGTTGAGGTTGTGCATCATCAGTCCACAAGCTAGGACAGTTGTAAGATACCATTATATCCATGACAGAGAGACCAAGCCTGGCCTTGAGGTCTCGTCTTCAAAGCTACCTGGAAGACCTGTGAGTCTGACCAATCAGATGAAATGGAAACTGCTACAGAACTGATGCACTAACTGGAAAGCATAAACACAAATGCAAGGACCTCAGCAGCACTGGTGGCAAGGCTTTCTGGAGGTCTCCAGTACAGCACCCCTTCACTGCAGGATTGTCCCCAGCACTTGAACAGGGCAATGGTGGCTTTGTACGGCTGGGAATAGAAAACTCCAAAGGATGGAGATCCCCCTCCTCCCAGGTGGTCTCATCTCCTACAGAAGGAGTTTATCCTCATGTCCAGTGTTTGAATCTCAGCACACTATGGCTGTTGTCACTTGCCATACTGTCTGCCACTGCCAAGAAAAGTTTAGCCGTACCGTCTTTAGGTTCCCCTTCCTACACTGATACGCTGCTATCAGATACTTGTGGTCTCCACACCACCAAATTAAACCAGCCTTCTCAGCCTCCACTCCGAGCTCATGGCTCCAAGTTCCTGCTATAGAAATGTCCCCAGATCTTTCTTGCCTGCGCATTGCCCTCCACGGTCAGACCCCTACAAGGGTGTGAACACTCCCAAGCTCTTGCCTCTTACCTTACAGGGTTCAGATTAAAACCTTCTTCTGCTTCCTCCTTCACATCCCACTGGAGCGCTTCCTGGATGAGGTTCCTCACCAACTCAGCATGGGAGCTGGGCAGGCCAGGCACAGTCTCTTGCAGCTTCCGCAGGACTGTCAGGTATTTGCTCTCCATCTGGCAGTTTCGTGCTTGCAGGCAGGCACACTGATGGGGAAACAAGAGGGAATGAGCTGGCTTACTGATGGTTCTTCCTGCGTTGCCACTGCTCTCTGCCAGTCTGGTCTGCACAAAAAGTGAACACTCCTGAACCGCAAAGCCCCAGAAAACACATGCAGAAGTTTTCTAGAGTCAGTGGAATTGCAGTCACGAACGAATCACCGTGGTCTATGAACAAGAACAAGTTGCAGTAGCTAGCACACAACAGAAGTTGCTTATTGAGTGGGAGACCTACTACAGCATCACCTACTTCAGTTGCTGCATTGCTTCAGTGGTTGGCATATACCAGCCAGCTCAGCTCAGGACACAACCAAAGAGCCACCACTGCAGCTGAGTTCTCTGCAGTCTTTTTCCCTGCGCCTCAGACAAGTTCACTACCCGACATTGAGCTGTATCCTGACAAAACACACCACTTCTGGTACTAAGCTATGACCATATAATTTTCAGGATACACCGTAGCACCACAGACAAGGTGACCACACACCCCTCAGCAACCCCAGTCCCATGGCACTAGTACACAAGATTTCTCAAGCACAGGAAGCCCGACTGAGTTCAAACAGCAGGACAGTCTCTGCCACCACCATAGTCCTTGGCACACAAAGCAGAAAAATGGAATAAGGACCATCATCCCCACTCCACAAGTGCAGAATTGAGGCCACACAGGTGACAAGACTCACCCAATGTCTCACAAGAAGCTCAATGAAGACTTCCACCCAGTAGGAAGCAGCAATTGAAAACAAAACCAAAACAGAAACCACAGAAAGATTAGGCTGCATATAGTGAGGACAGAAAGGAGCACAGGATACTGTTGTACTACCACTTTAATCAGCATTTTCCCTCACATTGAGCATGTTACTCTGATTACTTCGTTTCTGAAGGTTACAGCAGTTTCAGGATCAGAGGGCAGTAAGTTAGGAGGTAGGCAGGGTTTCAAATGACTAGGGAGGAAACAGATGTAAGAATGGCAATAACACTTCAGAAGCAGCTTTTTGTCCTGTTCCAGAATCCAAGACTGTGGAAACACACCTTAAAACCCAGAGAAGTAAAACCCAAGGAAAACCCACAGAACAAATGCCAGCACACACCACCAGCCTGTGGAATTGATTCAGAACGAGAAGATAGGATTAGTCAAGCCTGAGAGTAACCAGGTTACGCACACTTACAAGGTTAGAAATAAAAAAAGAGGTTAAGAAAACATAAGAGCTCTGATCTAGCTGCAAGACCTGAGCATGTTGCCACCTAGCAGTGCCAAGCCTCATTGAGAAATCAAGACAAGATGGAATCAGGGCTCAGTCAGTCTGCTAGCTCTCAGGAAAACCCTACACAGTGTTACTTTTTTATTTGTATACAAAAGCATAGCCAAAATCCAAAAATCTGTGTTAAGTTTCAGCATCCTCAAGATTGAGCTTTCCAGGTATTTTATTTTTATTGATGAATGAAAATGATCGTGTCTAATTTGAGAACAACAAAAGGCAGAAAAAAAGGTCACACTAAAAAAACACATTGGGAAGAAAGCTTACTCTGGTGGGTTTTGGACCAAAATCCATTACAGTGCCGACTTCAGAAAGAAATCAGTAACATCTCTCATCAAGGAAGAAAAGCCATTTTGCCTTACCTTCATTAGAAGGGCTTTTTCATTTTCAGCAACACTTGTCCAGAGTCGAGTAACCTGGTGGATCTCCGAGTTGAGAAATTGGTTCTGGGTTTTGTATGCATCAATATCATCCTGCCACAAAGTAAAACAGTCACACAAGGAGAGTTCTTGGAACCCCCTCCCAGTTCAGGGACCTCAGGTGTAGATTGTGTTAAGGACAAAAAATATCTCAACGATTTTGTGTTGTAGGGAGAAGACAGGACTCCCCAGGACAAATATTGCCTACAAAGGAAATCAAGGCACAATAGGAGTGCCATGTGTAGACAAGACACTTCAACATGCTAAGTGCACTGCATGTACATGCTTAGAAAACAGAGAGACATCCGGGTGATATAAAGCTACAGAAGCACCTAAGTAAAAGGACGGATATATGTGGTTTGTTCTATTTTTTAAAAAACTTAAACAAACCTCAGCCCCATGGCTGGCAGCAAAACCAAACACTCTCCCACAATGCAGTAAGTGGCTCTTTTGGCAATTCTCCACTGCATGCTAACTGGTCATTATAACTGTGTATATAGTGACAAACAACAGGCTGGATTTGAAAGAATCAGGATGTATTCTGAAACATGAAGGCAGCAAGTGAGACTGCAGCTGTGAAACAAAAAAAGAGCAAAGAAAGATGCAGGCACTAGATGGTGACATCAAGTCAAACAAAACAGGCTCTGAGCTGAAGCTGAAACAGACTCAGATGCTTTTGAGCACCCTATTGGTATCAGGTGAGCCTCTTCCAGCCTGCTTCTGATTTGGGGACAGACAGAGCAACTAGCAGAAGTATATTCTCTGCTTCCCAAAAGGAACAGCCTCCCACAGAACCAGAGGGCACAGAAATGGAAGCTGCCCAAATGACCTGTCCCATCTCACACACCTTCAGGTGCTCAATCTCCTCCTGCTGCTTATACAACGTCTCTGCAGTGATAGTGTTGTCTTCTTGCAGGGGGTCAGAGAGTTCTCGGGCCATCTGCTCCGTCAAGGCCATGATGACTTGCTGTTTGGCATGGTTCTTCTCCATCAGAAGCTGCACATGCTCCTTGAGTTCCTGGATGTGGCTGTCTCTCAGAGTCAGTATCTGCTCCAGTTCCTTCTTTTGTTGCTCAAGAGCTTCCAGTCGACTGGTGAGATCTGCAATTTGTCTCACTTTGTGGCGCACCAGCTCGAGCCTGTCCTTATCTTCTGCTGCAGTGAGATACATGCTAGATACTCGCTTCTCCTGCTGGGCTGCCTCCAGAGCTTTGTGGAGAAGTTTAACCAGCTCCTGGAAAGGGAACGCAAAGCCATCACATCACAGTGCTGCCCAGGACAATGGCAGCATGGACAGCACAGACCCAACCAGTAATGACTGAACAGTGAAAGGTCCTCAGGATCTTGAAACTGACTCCTTTCAGAAGCAAAACTGAATGCAGTATCTTGGAATCACAGTGCCTCCCCAGTAGAGAAGCTCTGCTCACAGAGCTGGGCCTGAAAGGTCTCCGCAGCAGACCACAGATGACTTGACTTTAGATGGATTGCTAACAGACAAGCTCCTGCTCACGCTGCCTGAATTCTGGCTTTCCTGCAGTCATCATTCTCAGGAGGCTGAGCAGACCAGAGAAGCTGGACATCTGGTCAGCAGTGTGGTAAAATGGGAGGAAGGGAAATAATGCAGTCTTCATCTACGCACTACCAGAAGGAAACTGCTGTATCCATTGCAATCTTCCCTCTGCCAGAGTCCTCCCTCACTCCATCCCACCTGAAGGTATAAAAGCTTGCCCCAGCAACATGTTGTTGATTCATGCTCTGCCATGTCAGCTATTTAAGGAAGTAAATGAAGGATGCAACTGATTGCCCACCACTGGATCTGGCTCTCCTGCCTTTTCTGCTGGAAGAGCTACCAGTACCATTAGTGGAGAGCCTGGCATTGTTCTGTGCTTGTGAATAACTGTATCATTCAAGAGACACAGCCCTTGCAGTGATCCATGTGCCGACTTCTACAGTCAAATCACCTCTTAATGGTGGATCATTGTTCAAAAAGAATGACCTGTTGTTAATAGCATGACTCAACCTGTCAGTTCCTGCCAGTGTCATGGTACCTATTCAGGACTGTACTTAGTGCATTCACTGAGCAACAGAGATGCACAAGCAAGACACTGCTGAGCGCACTTAGATCTGGTTTAGCTTCTTTTTCCAGCCCATCTGCTAGCTGCACTTCCTAGCAATGGCTGAAGGACAGCCCATTCTCCCTTGTACTGGGCACAATCAGGCACATACAAAGGGGTAACACCAGGAGCTTCAACTAGTCCCCAGTGAGTGTCTGCTAAGCACTTCTTAGCCTAACACCGAGGTATAAGGTTGTCCCTGTGACTAGCCTCAGGGCCTTGCTCTTAAAAGCAGCAGACTTTTTGCCACACTCACCTTCTGTGACTTGACTTCCTCTGTGAGTGTCAGGATCTGTTGCTGAAGGACACTCACTTTATCCATTGGGTTCCTCTCCCTGGACAGTTCTTCAGGCAAGCCTGGGAAGCCACTGTTCATCCACCTGGCTTTCCTAACCCACTTCAGCCTGGGCTCCATCCTCCCGTCCTCTGGGGTCTCCTCCTTAACTGAAGGGAAATAGGGTCAATTTACACAGAATTGGATTGCTACTATGGACTCCTGATTCTTGCTATGGGGGGGCATATAACAGCTCAGCAGAGAAGACTAACACACTGGACAAGGAAAATTGATCTCCTGGGATCCATAGGGTTGAAGCACAGACAGTAGGGTTCACCAAAGGTACCCCCAGAATAAACAAAGCCATGATGTTTTATGGTACCTGTTAACCTACCTTGCACCCTGCTCACCTATCTTGCACACAGCAAATGCAAGTCACCGCTACGGAGAGGAAACTCTCCAAGCCTGCAAGTGGAGGTGCTGAGCTTAGCCTGTGACTATGCAGCAATTTAACTTCTACCTCAAGGAAATACCAGTATGGGCTGGCACCATGGATGGTATTTTTGCCTCTGCAGAAGGTTCCAGAGGTAGGAGATAGACAGACGCAGCCTGAAGCAGAGCAAAAAGAGTCAGTCTTGTGCCAACAACACAGGAAGGGACATGAAACAATGTGATAGAGTTTTCATGTCCCATGACAACTTGCCACCCTCTCCCTCTCTTTCCTGGTAAGTCTGATTCCCTGCTAGAAGGCATCATAATCAGACCAGCTCACACAGCTCAGTAACAAGCACCTGCACACCCTGCCTCCACTTCTGCCTCTTGCTCCTCATCCAGGTTCTCAGGATGATCATGGAATTCACTGAAGCTAAAGACATTCCCATTGTTCCCCCAGAGCTGCTTGGAGCCACAGATATTGTAGACAGTGTTTCTGAAACAAGAAGAGATCAAGACAGGCTAGTGAACAGGAGAAGTCATGATCACTACAGTCAGTGCATATTCAAACTATTCAATGCCTTAGTTTCCTCATATCCCACCCCTCCTCCCAAAATCTATCTCCTTCGTGCACTGAGAACATTAACTCTTCATGGCACTGGTAGATCTGAGAGGAGCAAGGTTGTAAGTCATGTAAATCAGGAAGGTGCCACAAAATCAGTACCAGTACAGCAATGTAAATTAGCTGGAGATCTTTTCCCATGTGCTGGAGCCCTATGCATAAACACATCAGGTTTGACAGAGGGATCAAAGGTAACAGCAGACCAACACATCTTTTCTCCCTCCCTTCCTTCCTTCCCTCCCTCTCTCCCTTCCTCTCCTCCTGCTTCCCTCTGTCTTTCTCTTCCTCCCTCCATCCCTTCCCTTAGCTCACTGCAGAAACCCCAAAGTACCTAGAGCACAGCCAAAACCACCACAATAATCACATTTGAAGCAGCCAGAGACAGGTCTTGTGCTCTGAACCACATTTAATAACCTTGCCACAACAAACTCAATAGACTTTGATGCAGTAAAGAGATCCAGGAACAAAACTGCCATCAGACCCAGATTCAGTTTGTTACAGCTGCTGCTACCTGATATTGCCAGAAGCACTAAGAGATGACTTTACAGCATCAGGTAGAACCACAAATGTACACATATTTTCTGTAAAACCTATACAAGAAAGTGAGACAGTTGTCTATCCCTATATGGTCCTTTTCCTTGCTCCTTCTGTGTTTTCCATGAGCTAAAACAAAACAAACCCTTTGTTTTGAGGTCTACAAAAGACTCAGTGTCAGCTACTTCCTAACTGTACATGAAGTTGGCATTTAGATATTGTACTCCTTTTGCCTTCCTACTGTAAGGTTTCACAGCAAAAGAGCAGACATTTCTGTCTCAGAGAACATACTGGCACATAAGGCCAGCAGACTTTCATTCCCTGCAGTCTGCAGTTGATACTCGTCCAATGCAACTTTCCTACTTTTCTCCACTTCATGCTCACTTTTCTTTTTCCTCTGGGACAGCAGCAGCTCAGGGATCTGGTGAACTTGGCTAAAATCAGACATGCTACACTCATGAAGATCCAGCCTGACAGTGTTAGAGCCTGAAGAAATGTTCAAAGAACCAGGGGAGCAATACAATTTGAAGTTGAAAAGAGGCTATTGTTACTCAAGCTAGCAAAAGCAAGGCTGGGGAGGGGGGAGGAGATATGATCATATTACTTTTAATCAAAGTGAGGAGGACAGAATGCATAGCCTGCAAAACAGTACAGCTGATTATGATCCTCTTTGGCCCCGTGGGGCATCTTTCTTCCTATCAGTATCATATTGTAGCCACAGTAGTGGTGGTAAAAAAACTATAGCCAATCCCCCCACCAAAAACACTTGGCAGATGCCAGGTTACCTACCACACCTGTGGCCACTTACACATTTTTGGTTGTAAGTAAGTAACTGACTAGGACACACTTAAGGAGATATTTATAGGGGTTGTCTCTGTGCAACTGTAACTACCCAAGGCTGTAACTTGTAGCCCTGACGGAGCTACACATTGCAACTGCAGACAGCAGCATCATTGTATGCAGTGGGAATATTCACATACTTGACATTCAGCAGAGTAGCAAGCTGGGCAGTGTAGGGCCCTACTACAGGCTCAAGCGTGTTTTGCCTGGAGTTCCTGCTTTAGAGAGTGCACAACATTCATGGTCCTCTGAAACCACTGGGAAGTGCTAACGGGCTTCTAGCACTAGCCTACAGGGTACAGCTCAACCTGCTTGTGTGCTCTTCCAGGAGCGATGTGCAGATGCATCACAGTAGGCACGCAAATCACTACCTACACTGAGGAAAGCTTAACCAAGCCCTAGGTCTGCCACTAGGGTCTTTGCTAAGAGAGCTAGATGGTGTGAAATGCATTGGAACAGGGGCATGTGAAAGGCCTTCTGGCAGGAAGTATACTTTTGCCTAGAATATCCTTCAAAAAGCTGCTTCATGGTTCTCCCACCTAGGTAAGAGTACCATTTCACAGAATACATGACAGTCAAGGAAGGCACAAAGTGGCAGGCCAGTGTGTCAACTGCACTGCAGCCATCCTCATGCACTTACTGTATCTCTGTCCAGGGGTGCTTAAGGGAGATGTTCTGCAAAGCAGTAGACGTTTGGGGTGCAGGCAAAGATGCTGCCTTTAAACCCACTGCTTCTGTTGGTGTTTTCACCAAAGGCAGAAAGTCTTCATTGTCAGCAACATCTGTGTAAAAACAAACCAGGACATGGAAGCAAGCAAGCAAGACAGAATTCCATTGGACTTTGGCTCCTTCAGGTAACTTCAGAGCCACAACATTTTACTGCAGTTATACATTCCTGTGTTCAACTGGCCAGGTGGAAGAAGGGCAGCAGAGCATTGTTTCCTTAGTTTTAGGTCGAATTACAGAAGGTTCCATGTACAAACAGAGTCATCTATTGAAGGACAGCCAAGTGACTTCAACCATTTGTATATGAGAATGACTAACCCTAATCATAAAACTTTAACTGCCTAAAGGAATAAAGAAGGGAGCTGTTGCTGTTCTTTTCCCCCATCCCAAACAGTGTTTGATAGTTTTAATGTGCAGACAACAGCAAATTATTGCCTGCTGTAGCAAAATGCCAAGGTCCAGAACCTTTTAGAGCAGATACTTACTAGGAAGAGGGTTATTTGTTTCAAACAAAATGCGCATCTAGTCATAACCAAACAGGTGGGCACACTGCTTGCATCCTCCCCTGATCCACCAGCCTGTGGATCCACTGCTAGAATACCTATCTTCATCCCATCAGTGCTGGAAAAAAACTTGTTTGCTGTAAATTTCACAGGCCTCACAAGAGGAAGGGGATATACTGAATGTGCACACTTCACATGCATGAGGAAAATCAAGTGGGAATTCTTGATCATAAGATACTTGAGCATCTCCAACCACATACAGTGGATTAGGAGACAGCCTATTCACATTCAGCCATAATAAGGCCAGAAGTTCCAAACATCGACCAAGCATTTACAGTTGGCACCTGCATTTAGAAACCAGGCCAAAACCTCGGCCTACTTACAGATGAGGAGCAGTATTCATCACTGGGGGGCTGAAAGCAAAAGAAAGGCTGACATATGCAATACGTACTTGTTCTGCCAGCCAGAGTTTCATTCACAAGCTGGGGGCTGTCCATAGGAAATCTGCTCTCAGCGTTGCAAAATTCCCAACGTCTCATTTGGAGCTGCTGCAGCCAGTACAGCATTGCCTGTTTGCTGATTGCCTAACATAACACAAAACAGGAAGGGGAGTAATCTCATCACCATGAGACACATCCTGAAGGGCTGACCACCACATTGCTGTGCAAGTCAGCAGAAATAAAGGCCAGCTGTGCCAAGCCTATGCTATATTCTCTGGTCCTAACACTGATTTGGGAGGACAGAGTAAATCTTCAGTATGGCCTTAGTAACAGAACTTCAGTGGACCACTGACCTAATTTTAAATGTTTTTTTTTTGTTTACTATGGTCCAAGGCTAAGCAGAAATGTCACGATTACTTTAGCCAGGAATCACCCACAGAGCTTCCTAATAGCTATTTTCACAGAGATAAAAACCTAGCAAACGTCCCTGCTGGAGCAACCATTTCAGACAGGGGAGCTCACTACTGTTCAGCAAATTACATGTGAACTGCAGGACTCCTCAATGATTTTAATTCAGCACCCAGTTCAACTTTTACTTCTATTCTGTTAAACAACAACCATCTCACAGGTAATGGAGTCCCAGCCTTGCCAAACAATGCAAGAAATTTAAGTACAAATGGGAACAATCCAGACTGGGAGGACTACAGTGAAACTCAAGCCAAGAGGTATCTTGGCAGAAGTGTGTCTGTCCTGATTGGCTATGTTTCATAACAGCCCCCACAAGAAGGTACTGCTCCTTACCTTCAAAGTAAAAACTCTGTTTGGTGTTCTGATCTCAAAAACCCCTTCCCCATTTTCCACCTTGCAGTCAAAGCTGGCACTGGAGAGATCAATAGACCCCAAAGGGTTGACGTCCTGTGCAGTTCTGTAGTAGAGTAAATGACATTTGTTTTCATCATAAAAGAACCAGCGAGACTTCCAGGTCTTGATTGGCCCCTTGATGCCCAGCTTATTTAAATAGCCACAGAGTTTTTTCCTAGATGTTTCCCTGCTGGGTTTCAGCTGTATGTTTTCCAGTTCTCCAGAAGAGGAAAGCATGTCTTTCTCTTTCACTGAAGCTCCACTGCTTCTGTTATTGTCTGGATTTGACTCCACTAAATTGCCTGAAGTCGCAAGGGGACAAGCTCCGCTTTCGGGTCCTTTTTTCATCTCTTTCAGGAAATACACTTGGAATCAGATTGAAACAGGAAATTCTCTATGTAAATAAGTAACAGCAGATCCCATCTATACCATCACTGTTACAGAACCTGCAGCATATGAAAAAGGAGGAATAAGCTCAGGTTTGGCATATGACAAAAAACATTGCCTAGCTTTCAAACTCCCCAGCCAAGGTCTCTGACTTCTACTTTTGGTCATTGCTCCCTGCCTTCCTCATATCAGATGACATCTATGTATCTCTTTTCTCCTTTTTCCATTCCTGAATTAGCCTGGACTAGAAGTCAAGAAGTAGTACCACAACCTCTCGAGTGAAAAATAAGTACAGTCTGTGGGCATACCAAATCAATAGCAATAATCAGGGCATTTGAAGCCACAGACAACAATATTAAGTAACAGTTGCAGAAAATATGGCAAGATAACAAGCTCAGGGCCGGGGAGGCACATACTCAGGTCAAAGGATTTCAGGTAAGTATATCCTGGTATTTCCACTGAATGTTCAGCTAATATTTTAAACCATGGTCTCTGGAGAAAAATCCAGCCTTATACGGCATCCCCATAAATCATTTGCGTCAGTTGAGGATTGCTCTTAAAAAGCCTGCATGTGTTAGGTCTCCATCCAGTAGACCTCACGTGGTGGACTACGCACGAGAGAAAGTAACTGTGATCCTTGCAAAAGAGACTTGGTTGCTCGGTGACCGAAGTAACCTGCTAGGTTCCCAATAGGAATGCAATGTGCAAGAGAAAAATGGAAAAATAAGGCTGGAAATGATCTGTGGAGATCTGAGAGATGGGGCTGACTTCGAAGCCAGCTATTCAGGTCCACATTCAGATGAATTTTGATCATATGCAAGGATGGCAATTCTGTCACGTTTCTGGGCACTTTTTGAAGTGCTTAACCATACAGCTGGTGTGATTTTTTTGCTCAGAGCTGCAGACATCCATGGCCCTTGTATAAAAAAAGCTAACAACACTCCAGAAAAATACTCACAAATAATTTTTTGCATTTTTTCTTAAGTAAAAACATGATTTAAGATCAATAAATTAAAATACTTCAGATACTAACATATCTGAAACAAGTATGTAAGCAAACAGATTGTTACACTATTAAGTTAGTGGGAATCCAACAGCAGACACAAAACTACTGAACACAACAGCCAGCTGTGTGACAACAGTTGAATGGAGATTAAAACAGTGGAGCACACAGAGATATTGCCCAAGCACACGCTCTTAGGAATGACTTACCTTCATGACTGAAAGAAGGCTTACCCATCCAAGTGCTGGCTAAGCCCCATCATTTATTGCAGTCCCCCTCCTGCTCCCATATTAGCTTTTCAGACAACTATAGATAATGTTCACTCTTTTAGGAAAGCTACTGAACTTCTAGTTCACTACCCTGACACCCGCATGTATCCTGCTGCTGAATGCATTCACAAATGCTACAAACAAGCACCCTTCATGAAGGTTCTGACTCAGATAAGTTTTTGAAACACCCATAAGCTTCATTCCCAAGTTAATTTCTCCTGGCACAAAGGAACCATCATCAGGAGGAAGAAGAGGTCTCAACTCTCCCTAACAGACCCTGGGGCTTTTATGGCAATACCAGCATAAGGACCTCCTGTACTGTTTGAAGATTCCATCACACTTCTACATCTTGTCAGCATGATGGTCCATGAGTCCACATTGCAAACAGGATCAAGTAAGCATTTTGGGTTCAAGCACCAAGTTATAAGGAGTCGCATCAGATCTGCTTTGCAAAGCATTCTAGAGAAGATCTCACCTCCTTAAGAGAAGCAGAGGGCTGCTCCTGGAAATCACCATCTGCTGGCGCAAAGCTACTGCTGCAGGCACTACCAAGCAGGTAACCACAGCTTCCAAAACAAATCCAACAGCAACAAAAGAAGGGCTTCTACCTCAGGTTTCCTTCGGTCCAGTCGCTGCCTGGGAACTGTCTGAAAGAGACATTCAGCTGACAGCGGCTCTGACACTGACTCATCAAGGGAAAAGAGATCAGGGTGAACCCCGCACAGGCCTTTCTGGAGCTGCTGGTGTGAGCAGCACAAGACAGCCCCCACTCCCCCAAACCTCTCTCTGTGCCTCCCCCAGCGCCGCAGAAGCGCCTCCCAGCCCAGCTGCACCGTTCCAGTGCATCGGCGAAGGCTGCCGGAGCCTGGCACCGGGCTCCACTGCCCGGCGCGACGGGGACCGGACACTGGCACCACTTGTACCACCCGGCCCGGGGAGGGGGAACCTCAGCTCCGGGCTGG